GAAAGTTGTGGTTTTCACTAATTTTATTAAACTTTGCTGACTCTCAAAATCTGCAGAACGAATGGCCTGCTCTCATAACTTTCTTGGTTTATAATATTTTTGCGGCTGAACCAATGTGAATACTTTACTCCGGTCTGTTTTTGTAGGTCATTAGTTCAGGGGAAAAATTATTCTTGTGTGAGAAAACAATAGTTAAAAGAAAGCATGTGACTTCACCTTCCCATTAGCTCTGGGAATAACTCTGAATATTAGATGAGAGCTTCATCTGCATGCAATTAGATACGCCTACTGCTCATCCCAGAATATCAACTCTGGTCTCTTTGTGAAATGGAGCTGGTTATTTTAAATCTGGCTTTGAATTAATTCTTGAAACCAGGATCTCAATGGTTTCAACTTGTTTCTGAGATGCTGAGTTGAATTTGATGACATTGTGGCTATTTTGCTGATTCAATTTATTTGGTGTGGGAAGAGAAACCCCTGGCTGCTTCTTCTTAGGTGGAATTTCTGTCTGCCAAGCGTCGTGGGCCAAACCAAGGAGCGCCAGAGCTCTAGGCTCACTCCTCTGAGCAGTGGGGAAAACCCTGCCTGCTGCAGCTTTTCCAAGCTGAAACGAGGCAGTGGGAAAACAAACCTGACGGCGCTGCTTGTGTGTGTGGTTTTATTGAGCGGGTGACTAATCTGCAGATCTGCATTTTGTGAACAGGGGGTGAGGATGCCGGGGCTAGGCTCTGTTAGCTGGAGATTGGGATCACAATGTCCTGGAGCGGAACTGTAAGACAGCGCCACACCATTTCCCTGCATGGAGCCAGAAACAGGTGCCTTGCAATCCTGTCTTCCACCTACTAGAAACCTCAGTTTCCTCACCTGTGAAAGAGAGTTATAATAGAACTCTGGTGTGCTTATTACTAGAGATAAGGCCTGTAAGGCCCTCAGCAAAAGGTGAGGCTCACAAGCAATAGTGACACCACTCTGTTATCGCTTAGCGAGCTATTGGCGGAGGAGTAAGGCTCTTTGCTGCTCTCTGGTGGTGAGATATAGAGTGGCAGCCTGGTGGAAGATGGGAGATGTTTCTTTGAAAAGCAAGAAAATTGCTTTTGGGTTTTGTTGCTTTCCTGTTCAACTTAAAGCAGGAGGAGAGGGAAAAACCCTAGCGGCTCTAAAAGCAACAGGATGTCTTCCTTGTAGAAAGGGTGAGCAGGAGAGGCTCTGGTGGGCTTCCTTGGCTGTGCGTGGACGGTGGTCAGGGAGATGGAAGCAGCTGGGTGAGACGGGCGTGGGGCTGGGGCTGCTGCCCTGGATGTCCACGTTGGTCATGGCTGGTGTTTCTGTGCTTTCTCTTAATCTCCCCAGTATTCTCAATTTTTCTGGTCACAGCAGTCTCTGCCTTTGCTGGCCTGTCTCATCAGCACCTCATGGATGGACCAGGTGAAGCAAGGATGGGACGAGCAAGTTTCTGTCACTTGATTTAACCTGGATTTGCTCTGAGGCCTCTTGGGACTCACAGAAGTCTTGTCAGGGCCTCTGCCTCTGAGCCTGGGAGAGACAGCCTGCTGTGTTCTAGCTCGGTGCTTAGGACAATAGGTAATTTCACGTAATGGCTTTGCCTCCCTGTATGCTGTGATTTCTGCCCCTGAGGATAAGGGACCAGGCCAAACCTCTGTTCCCCATGGTGCTCAGCAAAGAGCTGTGCACTTAGCAGTAGCTCAGCGAATATAAAGAAACTGTGTTCTCAGGGTGCACCTTAAGACCTTGATATTAACAAACTAGTCAGTTGTATCTGAGTACAGTGTTTGTCCTTTATCTGTATTTGCTTCCTATAGTTTCAGGTGCTGTGGCGAGTCTCAATCCATAAATATGAAGTGGAAAGTTCCAAAAATAAGCAATGGGTGAGTTTTAGGTGGTAGGCTATTTCAATAGCATGATGAAATCTCACAGCCTCCCTCAGTCCATCCAGGACACTCACCATCCCTTGGTCCAGTGAGTCCACGCTGTATCTGCTACCCAACTGTAGTCTGTAGCCAGCGCAGTTATCATGCTGACTGTCATGATCATGGTGCTTGTGCTTGTGTGGCCCTTATTTTACTGAATAGTGGCCCCAAAACATGAGATTAATGAGGTTGGTAATTAGTATATGCAGGGGAGGCGTGAAGTGCTTCTTTTAAGTGAGAAGATGATGTAGATGTAACAGGGTAAGGAAAAATGGTATGTTGAGATTGCTAAGCTCTACAGTACATTGTGGTTGGTCTGTTACTGTGCCTAGCTTATAAATTAAACTTCATCACAGGTATGCATATAGAGGAAAATCATATTATATATAGGAGTTAGCACTATCCGTGGCTTCAGACAAGGGGAACCACTGCACCTGAGATGTAATGCCACAGGTTCTGGGAGGTGTTTACAAAGACAGACAAGACAGAGACCACAGCCTCTAAGGACACATCTTGTTAGGTGTCCAAGTTAAAATAAATTTGTTAGATTGTGGTGCAAGTCATGTAATTACTCAGGGCCAAATGAACCATCCGCGTGGGTATTAGCGCTGATACCGGAAACAGGCCGCCATCCTGGGGCGGGGTCAGGTGAGTGGCACAGGGCTCGTCTGGACAAGGCCTCCTGCTTGCTTAATGCCTCGCTACTGCCATCTTGAAATTCTTCATTTTTCTTTCTTTCTGGTTTAAAAGAAGTTTGAAAATTGACCCATAATTGTAACATATTTATGTGGGACAACGCAGTATTTCAATATATGTATATAATGTGCAGTCATCAAATTAGGGCAATTAGCATATCCATTACCTCAAACATTTATAATTTCTTTGTGTTGGAAATGTGCAAAATCCTTTCTTTTAGCTATTTGAGATATATAACAAATTATTATTAGCTATGGCTTTACAGTGTTTGAACAAGGACCCTGCATCTTTTCTTCTTTTCTCTTTTTTTTTTGAGACAAGGTTTTGCTATGTAGCCCAGGTTGGCCTCCAACTCACAGAACTCCTCCTGCCTCAGTCTCCTGAGTGCTGGGATTAGAGCTATGTGCCACTATGCCTGACTCCATGCATCTTTTCTTTTGCACCAATCCTTGCAACTTATATAGCCAATCCTGACCTGCGTTCTGTGTGGCCAGGAGAAGCTCTGTGGTGGCTTTGGGGGCTCTGGGACTGGCTGGATGAGGTGGAAAAGATGAGCTGCAGAGCTGGGCTGCAGCTTGAGGACGTGGCCATCCTAGTATCAAGTGTGGTGCAGCACTACGTCCCTCAGGATGTGTTTGGGACGTCAGGGACTGGACTTCTGAATCCTCCCCCGAGCCCTCTTATAAAGAAGTGGGGCCTCCAGATGAAGAGGCTGTGGGCCGGGCTGCTCCACGGGCAGAGGAGCCTGTGAGAGCCATGACCGCGGGGCCTCACTCGGGGCACTGGAATTACACTCCTTTCTGGAATGTGCTGGCTGGACGCTTCATGGGCCTGCTGGGAAGCCCAGAGGAGAAGCCCAGGAAGTGGCTCTGTAACCGCAGAAAAGGGCTTCCTTACGTGCCTAGCACACCTGGCATCAGGTGGTCCTCATTTGGAGTTTGGTGAACTGGAACTCAGAGCCCGTCCTCAGTGGTCTGAGCAGTAGCTGTCTGTTGGAGGAAAGGGTCTAAGCCCTCCCGGGAGGCAGTGCACTTGGCAAATCTCTACTCCCCCTGCTCATGGACAGACTGGGCTTGGAGTCTGGGCTTCCTCTACTTCACCTACACCAGGAGCTTCACTTGTGTGGGTCCCTGCCACGCGGCGCCATTGAGTGGTGGCTGGCCCCATCAGGGGTGCTGCTGCTCTAATCAATGATGCAGAGGGGGACTTGAGAGGTCAGAGAAGAGGGGCAGCATCCGGGCTAGCAGGACTAGGCCAGAGTGCCAGCATTAGATAGGTAGCCAGGGAGCACCCAGCAAGGGTGGAGAGGGCCAAGAGGGTGGCGTGTTTAGAGTGAGCAGAACGGAGGTGAGGCTGGCCACCCCAAAGAGCATGCATGTCCTATGTGCACACTCTTGCCAGCAAAAGAAAGGGCTTTTGAGCTGCACAGGCTGTAATTCCAGTTACCCAGGAGGCTGAGACAGGAAGATCACAAATTCAAGGCCAGCCTGGGCAACTCAATGAGACCCTAGCCGTAAATAAAATTTTAAAAGGGCTGCGGATATAGCTCAGCATCCCCTCAGTTCAATTCTTAGTGCCACAGAAAAGAGAAAGTGAAAGGCTGGAGGAAGAAGGGGCCTTTGCATTGGAGGTGGCAGAGATTTTATGCAGATTGCTTGTCACTTGCCCCTATCCCGAAGGCCCTGCTGGGGCTCTAGAGCCAAGCAGGGTTTAGGGCTTCCGGGAGCAGGGCCCGGCATCAGCCGTCTGCTGCCCAGGACTTTCCTGTTCTGTTCTGCCTGTTGGTCTCGGGCCTTGCTGTTCAGTCCCTCTTCTTTCTCTGTAATGAAGGGAAAAGTCACAGTCTCTAGCCTAGTGGACTGTCTCAGGGCCTGGCTGACTTAGGATACAGGTGGGACACAGGCAGTGGGTAGTTTGTGCAAAAATACAAAGTGGCCTAGTCTGGTAACTATTAAAATAGCTCTCATTTACCAGGTTCTTGCCATGGCCCGGTATCCTTGATACTTTATGAGCTCCCAGACGGCCTGGCTCGGGAGTCCCCCAGCCTCTCACTGGGCACTTCCTGCCTCTTCTTGAGCTCCCCGGAACCCCAGGGCATACTGACTGAGACTTTCAGTGTGACTCCCAATCCTGCATGCTTCCACCTGCCTGCTCTGACCAACCACCACACATGTGGGAAGTGCTAACCTCCAGGCCTGCCTTCCTGTCCTTGGGATGGGCCAACAGCCCCACATAGTCCATGGAGGTGAGTGTCTACAGGTGTTTGGGAAACACCCCCTTTGGCCCTAATACATTTGTCTCTGGTCATTCAGGACACAGTAAACATTTTATTGACACCCAAGTTTAACTGAAAAGAAAACAGTCAGGAGTCTAGGATGTTGGTACATTTCAAATATATTTTATTACTTTTCTTTTTGTCTTAGAAAGAATATGAAATCTGCATGCAATGCTAATGATCTCTGACATTCACATAGCATATAACACAGCAGGATAGTGCAGCCTCTACCCAAGGGCAGCCTGTGGGGGGCGCTCTGCGGAAGGTATGTACAAAGAAAAGGGTGCTCCGCTCATCCCAGCTTCCAAACCCGGACACTCTGCTCCCGGTGAGCTGCACGGGGAGTCACAAGTGTACCGCTGCTTTAGTACTGCACGTTCCACCGTGTGTAGGGAGAGAAACACACTTCGAAGATTTCCTGTTCTCAACAGATTGTGTGTCTCCAGTTGCGGGTTGTGTATGTGTTGTAAAATTCTACGGTTTTCACTAACAGTGGTAGGAACCTCACGTGCTTCTGAAGCATCACAAAGTGAAGCAGCAAACCTTTCAGAATTCCTCAGGTTGGAAAAAAGACCCCATACGTTCTTTACAGGTCACTTGCCTCACCCCCACAGGATCTTGGAAATGTTTCCTAGACTGAAAAAATGAATCGGAGGAATGAAGCACATTTGTCTGGCAACTAAACTGAGTTCTTCCAAGCGCAGATGCAGAGAGACCTGCTCCTGCCTACCCGGCAAGAGGGGCCACTGCGGAGTCACACCGAGGCTGGGATCCACCGTAAGCCCAGGAGGGCCTGGCAGCTGTGCAGAAGGCGCCAGGCCCTCTGGGCGGAAGCTTCCCGAGCTAGGTTCTGCAATGAAATGTCTCAGCCAAGCTCACTGTTCCTCCCGGGCGCTTATAAAGCTCAGATGTGTATCGATGTACGGACAAATACAAAAAAGCATTTTTTTTAAAAAGGAAAGGCATGAGTTTCCCCCCGTTTCAGCAAAGGGCCGCCTGTGTTGGTGTCTGGAGCGCAGGAGAGCTGGGTCTCACATCTGGAAGCCTTTCGCGCACAGCTATAAAATGTAAAAACTGACCCTGGGTAAAAAGTGCTTCGTAACAATATATAGTTTGTGTCTGATGCCTGTGAGAAAGAAAGGTTTTTTTTATTTAACCAGCAAAGTCCTTTGCTCAAGTCTCGCAACTGGTCTGGAGTTTTCTATCAGAGATCTTTCCCCTATTCTTCGTAGACCCTGGGAAGAGAAAGCACAGGTGTTAGTGGCTCAGGACTGATGCAGGCTGCTCATGGCTGCTGGCGGAGTGGCTTCCTTCAGTCTTCACAGTACAGACTTCAGCTGCGGGGGCAGGAGAGACATCTCTAGGGACACAGGGGCCACAAACGCTCATACATCTGGCTTTGCCCTTTCTTTTTTTTTGTCTTTTTGAGACAAGGTCTCACTATGCAGTTCAGGCTGGGCTTAAGCTCACTATGTAGCCCAGGCTGGTCTCGAACTCGCAACGATCCCCCTGCCTCAGCCTCCCAAGTGCTGGGATTACAGGCTTGTGCCACCACGCCCGGCTTGGCTTTGCCCTTTCTAATCAGCTTCCGCCTCTATACTCCCATCTTTTCCTCAAGGCCCTGTGAAGCAAACCCTCTTGTGTGTGGGGAAACTGAGGCCTAAGACACCTCAGATGTTCCCAGTGACCACGGATGGCCGGCATGGTATCACCTGCTCCTCCCATTCGTCTGCAGAGAGCCCCTCCTCTTAGAGAAGACAGCCCAGGGGCGGGTATGCTCTCTCTAGGCTTGGGCTTGTCCTCCTGAAGAATGCCAGTTCTAGAAGCCTGAGGACTGAGGAGGCTCTGACGGGGGATCTGTGTCCCCGAGCACTCCTCCGCGGTGCTGCTCACCCCTGCTGATTATCAGGCAACGAAAGTCACCTTTTCCCTCACCTCTCAAGCTGGCTCCGTTTAGGTTTTGTACTTTTTTCAAGTTCTGTCCCACGGCTGCCCCAAGCCCCTAATTGACACTCTGATAGCCCAACACTCCCTGCCTTGCGCTGGATTTCTAAGACCACCAGATTATACGTCCAAGTGGAAAGTTGTGGTTGCTTCCTGTGGCAGCCAGAAGCCCTGGTGTCTGAGACGCTGTGAACTCCCCCGCCCGGCCCCACAGGACTGCCCCTGCCCCCGCCCCCCCCCCCAAGCGGACTTCTAACAGTGCCTTTATCTCCGCTCCACATCCAGAGACGTTTTTCTATCTTTCCAGGGGAGAGATAGGGAGAGTAAGGACACGCTCTTCCTTTCAGCATGTCTCAGCACCCAAAAAGGAAGGGTGAACCCCCAGTATGATGCGGTGAGGGCCGGTCTGGTGACCGCGGCAGTAGAGAAGCCGGGCTGCATTTAGACTCCCCGGCGCCCCCTTGCGTTCTGAGCCACACTGCGGGTGCGGGGTGAGTGAGGAGCAAGGTGGGCACAAGGTTTGAGCGTCTCCCAGGAGCCGAAGCAGGATGTTCTCAACCCCTCCATTCCCCCGCCCTGGGTTAGTTCACTGCATTTTTGATGACGCAGGGCTTAGAGGGTGGCGGGGAGCGGCAGGGGCAGGTCCTGCTTTTGTCAAGTGCGCTCACTCTCTTGACCAGAAAGAGGGCGCCACTCCCATCAGATATATGGAAAATAGTCTCTCACCCTCATCACTTTCTATTTCAGGCAACTGCAAACAAGGCAGTTTTGGAGGCAGCAAAAGCAGGCTCAGGTGCAGGAGCTGTGGGAAATCTGGTCACAAGGCCGAGCCTGAGGGGGTGGTGCCCGGCCAGGTGGTGGGAAGGGCAGCCCAGTTCCCTACTGTGGCTGATCCTCTCTCCTGGGGACCTGGCTTCCTGCCCTGGCTTTGTCTGCTCTGGCTTTGTGCTCCCAGGGAATTACTGTCCTCCCAGTCTGCCTTGGTTTCCCCCTTGTGTAGGATGTGTGCTGGCACTGGCCCCTGGGAAGTCCCCTGAGTGTGCATGCTTCCCCAGCCGTGCTGTGCAGGGAAAGGAGACAGCAGGCCCTGCATACTGCAGGAAGGGCCACTTCTAGGACAGCTCACCTTTACATGGTACAGGAAACCAGAGAGTGGCACCTCTTCCACGTCCAGAGCAAGACCCCAGGGATCAGAGCTAGAACTTCCTGACTATGGGGAAACAGGGCTCAAGGAACACTGGGGTTTGGTCCAAGGCACTGGTAGTCTCAGCCCCGCTTTCCCCATTGAGTAAGAGTGGTGCTGGTTTAAAGGGTCAAATCCAAAGCCCCTTCTAGCACCTCTATGGGAAGGAATTTATCTGCCGTCTGAGCACCATGGGGCACTCCAGAGAGAATATGTTGGCAGACAGGTTACCCTCATCATCTTGTGGATGAACCCACAATTTTATGGTTAACATAGTCAATTAAGTGGTCACATTTCACCCCGCAAGATCCACATGGGATAGCCAGGCCAGAGGCTCACCCAGCCATTTTACAGCTTATGTGCCTTTTCAAAACGGCAATTAAGACTATAACATGAAAGTTACAACAAAACAGACTTTGGGTCACAAAGAGAGAAATCTTTAATATGTAGAGCTGTCTGAGAGAGCAGCAGCCTGCTTTGTTAAGTGGTGACGTCGCATTCCTGGGAGTATGCAGGCAGTGTCTGGTTGTCTGCTACCTGCGGCTATTGTGGTGGGCACACACATACGCAACAGGCGACCTGATGTGGGGGACCCACCCCATCCCGAGAGCTGCAGCCTGCCCTGGAGGAGGTGGGAAGGGGTGTGGGAGGGTGAGAGGAGTGGGCGTACCTGCGCTTCTCGTTCCAGGCGTTGTACCACTTGATGAAGCGCTTGGTGCTCTGCAGCTTGGGGTGCAGGCAGTGCTCCTGGCCACGGTACCTGGACATGCTCTTGGTGGTGATGCTGAAATGCAGTGGGTGGGCTGAGGGTTGAGGTGTGGAGTAACAGTCCCTCACGTGGCCGCCTCCCTCCCTCAGGGCAGCCCCTCCAAGGACTCCCCCCCTGGCTAGCTCTGTGGAAGGGTCTGCTGTCCCCTTCTATAAAGTGAGCGGCCTCCCTTTGCCCCTTAGAGCCAGCAGTATCAGGGACAATGTCCCCCAGGCCTACTGCACCCCCAGCACTGTTGTTTCTGGGATTTAGGGCTCTTAGGGGACTCTTCCAGGGATCCAGAGATGTGTGTGCCAAGGCTCTGCCCTTGTATTTCAGAAGCTCCACCATGGGGTAAGATGCGCTCCCTGCACACACTGAACCCTCAACCTGAGTTCCCCCGCCTGCCACAGATTGTCCCAGGGCTGGGCATCTGCTGATCCCAAAGCAAAATCTTCGCCTTGAAGCCTGTTTTGCTGCTCCAGTGTGAAGTCCAAGTTATCTCACTTTTGGGCAGAGAAATAAGACCTCCCTTCTTTGTGGCTGAAAGATCTCAGGCACCTATCAGCCTGTTCTAATACTGGGTGGATTTCTAGCTGTTTGGTAGGTAAACATGATGACCTTGTGCAGAGTGGAGGGGCCTGGGTTTGAACCCCATGTTTGGCTGGGACCTTGGATAACCTCTCTGAATCTGCTTGCCTATCTGTAAAATGGGTATAATGATAAGAACTACCTCCTAGGGTTATTGGGATGATGAAAGGATATAATCCATGCACAGTACACAGGACCTGGCAGAGGCCCAGTGAATGGTTACTGTCATTAGTAACTGATCATGGGAGATGAGACAGGAGAAAGATAAACCTCAGTGTGAGTTCCAGCCCAGAGGGAAGGTGAACTGAAGCCCAGCGCTACTTCCACCCTCCCCGCTAATGCTGGCCAGGAGGATGGAGGAGCTAGGGGGAAGGATGGTATTCAAGATAAAGGGGCCGCCTAGCACAATGGGAAGTGCCAAATTAGGGGTGAAGATGCCATCTCTGAGGTGCATAGAAGAGCAGGTGGAGGTGAGAAGGGAAGGAGTGGGAGTGAGGCAAAGGTCAGCTCATCCCCCACAGGCTGCCAAAGGGGGAGTCAGGGTTCAAAGGTCCAGTTCTAGAGGGGTAGGGTTGCCATGAACACAGTCTCCCCATCTATGGGGATCGAAAATGGGATCTCACCACCAGAATGGGGTAGAATGTTTCTGGGTGACCTGCTCTTTTCTTTTCATTGTGCTGTGAGCTTCTGAGGTCCCCAGGGGAGCCAAAGCAAACTGGGAAAGGGATGGGTCTTCACAGCCTGCTCTGGAGCCCTCCCAGAGACACGTGGCTCTCTCTGGAGCATGAGTGTGCAGCCAGCTTTGGGGTGAAATCTAGCTCTTCCCCTCCCGGAGGAACCTGGCTACCCCCAGGGATTTAGCACAGGGACTTTTCTGCGTACCGCACTGCTGCTCTAGCACTCTGAGTGAAAGGACAGGGCAAAGCTTAGAAAAAAATCCCCTTCTCAGTCAGGTCAGCGCGCAGCTGAACATCCCAAATCCTGAAGGTCGGGGAGGGCAGGAAGGCAAGCGCAACCCTCCAACCACGGTGCTCAAGTTCTGCATCACAAACTGAGACCAGGGAAATCAGCCGTGGAAGGCAGACAGGAAGATTTACCACGTCAGCAACTACGAGAAATTCTGGGCCCAGCGTCCCTCTCCTCAGTTCTGGGCATTGAGGGTTTGGGGGACAGCTCAGGGACATATGGCACAGATTGCCCTTTGTAGAATTGGGACTCTTCCGGACCCTTCTGGCCGCAAGGACTCCTCCTTGCAAAGATACTCCGCTGCCCCCAATCCCCACCCCTAGCCGAAGAAGAGATGGCAGGGTGACTCGGGGTGAGCTGGAAAACTTGCTTTTGTTCAGCTTTTGTGGCTGAAAACCTGCTTTGGCAAAAAGTGCTGGCCCCTTGTCTGATCTAGAAAGTCCTAGGAACACAGGAAGGGAGAGGAGCCTCCAGCTTTAGGGGGTGGGGGTGCTCTGAGAGTGGGGAGGGGGAGGAGAGGGTGACGGGTGCTGAGCTCACGAGGCTGCTGCACGTTTTCACAAGGCTGCTTGCAGCCTTCTCATGCGCTTAGCTATTGTTTCCCTCTATAACTGGAGATACTTGGCCAGGAAAAGTCTCTGCTGAGGGATTCTGTCCTTTTAAGAGGCCGCCGCACCCCATACCCTGCTTTTGTCCTCTGCATGGTCTCAGAAACAACTTTTGATGTTCCTTGCCATTTTAAATCCCCAAGCTGGAAGTGCTGAGAGCTTATAGCTCCTCCTCTAGATCTTTTGACTCCCAGCCCCCGCCTAAAAGGATTTGGGGGCAGTTTTTATGCATTTGGTCTGCACAGTAAGGGCCAAAGACGAGAGGGTTAATTAAGATGCCTCTGAAGGATGAGTGTTGGGTTCAGCTCCGGTCTGGAGGCTTTTCAGATATCACCCACTTCAGCCTGCAGCCCCAGTGGTAGAGGGGTGTGGGGAGCAGGGTACGCATACGCCCTGCCTTTGCAGACACTGCGTGGAGGCCTTCAGGCAACAGGGCCAGCCGGCGGAAGGCGCTTGCCCAGACTGAGAATAGAGTGTGTCCTGTTTCAGGGGGAGGGGAAGAGGGCCAATGGTCCATGGCAAATATTTGGGAGCTGCTTTGCCAAGGGCTTGCACCCTAGCCAAGAGCGTATTGATGGGCAAACAGTGGCGCTGGCCTCAAGTGGTTAATTGGGAAGGCAGAGGAGCGAGGAAACTCACTGTTCTCTCGCTCTGCCCCACTTTTTAAAACATTGCCCGCATCCCCACCAGCAGGGCTAAGGTCGCAGGGCTTGTTAACCCAGTAGAGTGCTTTCTGCAGGACTGCAGGGACTCAGGGGCCCACAAGGAATCCAGCTGCTGAGAGAAGAGCCGGGAGTTCTCATAGTGAAGTCCTGAAAAGCCAAAAACTGGCCATCTGGGTGAACAGCCCCTGATTAAACAAAGGCTCTGAAAGGAAAGTTGGGATTCAAAGTTTGCACTGCTAATCCCTTTGGCGCATGAAGAAGGCAGCATGCCCCACGGTCTGGAGGTGAGTGTGTTTTTGATGATCCCAATCTTGGTGTTCTAGCCATTGATCCTCCATTGCCCTAGCACCCTGGGCAGCCCAAGGTACAAATTCTGAGGCTGCCTATTACAGTCCTAGCCAGAGTGGACTCGGAGATGCTGCTCCTGGAGCCCAGGACAGTGACCCCTTTTACGCCTGTTGCGCCAGCGTCCTAAGGACTCACTGGGCAGTCACAACGCTTTGCCAAGGACTTGGTAAAGGTGGAGAGAAATGTTAGCCTGACCCAACCCCGGGCTGTGCCTCCGCATGGGACATCCTGGTGGGGAGGAGCAGAACTCACATAACCATCTTTTCCTCGCAGTGCGGGTACTTTGGCTTCATTTCCAGCTTCTTCACGTCACTGTAGCGTATCTTAGGGCCCTTCCGGGAGCACTTGCATTTGGACCCTGTGGGAGAGGACGCGAGGGCTGCTCAGTTGGGCCGGTGGTCTCTTGCTCCCCTTCCGCCTTCGGAGCCCACCCAGACCCCCCTGGAACCCCGATGGCTAATAGCTGGTGTTTGGGATCCCATCCCAGGGATGGGATAAGACGGCGACAAAGGGGCTTCCCAGCACTCACCCTCCGTGCGCGAGGCGCACAGCGCCAGGAGCAGTAGAAGCAGCGCGGCCGCCAGGAGCCTCATGCTGGTCAGAGGGGTGCAGCGCACGAACAGGGACACGGGGACTGCGCCGCCGACGGTCCGTGTGGCGCCCCAGACGCTGCCGGGTCGGATCTGTCAGCTCAGAGCACGCCTTCTGCCTCAGCTCGCCGCAGCAGCACCGTCGGTGGTGGGTGCTGTCTGTCGCTGCGCGCTGTGCTTTGCGCTCCTCTCTGCGATCACTCCACAAGTCTGCTCCGCCAGCCCTGGCCTCTTTTAAATCCGCTCCTGCCCTCGCAGCAGCGAGCTCATTAATATGCAGAACCACTCGGTGACTCACTGAGATTTCTCAATGTGGTGGGGGGAGGAGACCTTCCCAGCCCGCCTGCCGCCGGCCTTGGGACTGGATCGCGATCGCAGCGCCTCACATTTGGAGCCACGCGTGCACCCACACACTCACACACTCACATCTGCTCCCCTCGCACGCGCATAACTCGCTCTGTTGCGTACACTTGCACCCCCAGCCCACGGCCCGCGCACTCTTCCGGGACAGCTGCTCTGCCTTGGAGAGGCGGGACGGCCGAGAAGCTGCTGAAGAGGGTTGCTGTTCTGATTCTGGTGGATCCCACCCTGGCCAGACAGGTTTATTGTTCTGAGCATTGCCCACCCTCCCGGCCTCTGAGACCCAGGCAGGGGCCCAGATCCTTGGGAGAGGACCTGAAGGAATTTTGAAGCAAGTGCCAAGTGTGACTGCCAGCAGACCTGACCCCTCTGCCTGCCTGATAGGAAGCAGCCCGGGTGGCCAGGGCACAGGCCAGGTCTGGGTAGGCGCTTGCCATAGGGTGTACGCAGCAAAGCCGCCGCCTGCAGTCACTGAACTGACGCAGAGTGGGGCGGGGGCACTCCTAGAGAGGGCTCCCTAATATGGGGCTGTGGCCTGGTGACTGTGTGGCCCTCTGGGGGTTGAGAGAACCTGGGTGCTCCTCACTTTCATGCTATTCTCCGATGCCAAGCAGAGCCCATTAGGCAGCATGACAATGGTAACCATCTCGATAAAGCCGTCCTGTGCACCAGAGATGGTGTGGGGCTGCAGATACAGCGGTGTGAGGCCAGCCTCGACAGATATGCCCACCCCACTACTTCCCAGCACACGTGACTTCATCACTCAGAGGCTCCCTTGCATTAGCCGCGAAGTCTAAGTAGTCACAGTGCCCTCCATAGGGTGGCTGTGAGAAGTCCGTATTCTTACACACACAAAGTACTGTAGTTAACGGGGTGCCTGATGCATGGTGCCCAGGAAATATTATTTATTGGCGTCACTAGTCCATATGTTTCATATATAAGAGCATCAGAATGCCACTTCTAAGTTGGTACTTTCAGTTTCTTTAACAGGTACAGAAGCAAGCTTAGGGAGAAGCAGCCTCGTGCCCGAGGTCATGGAGGCTGGAAGCAGGTGTGGTTGGGCCAAGAGGGTCCTCTGGATTTGTGGCTCCAGAACTGGGTCCGGTCTGTGGCTGTCATGGCCGTTGGGCTTTCACTTCGCGGTGAGTGAACCTTGGAGCTTCCTTGAGAAGAGACCCGAGACAGCGGGCAGAGCAGCTCAGGCGGAAGGGGGCTGGGTTTCCTTTCCAGGCCGGAGCTTGCCCAGCACTGTGCTCAGCCTGGCAGCGCTCTGGGGGTGCAAGTAGGGGGGTGTTCTGGGGAGAAAGGGGTGCAGTTTGCTAAGGTACCAACTGCGAATATCTGTGCTGCCTCCTCCCAGCAGGAGCATGTTTGCTGCTGCATGCAGGGGAAGCTGACCTCGGAAGAGCAAGCCGAGCCCACGCCCGTGGTTATGTCTGCTCTTGAAGCCAAGCTGGCAGCTGGACGTTTGCCCTGAGCAGAAGATGAAGGCAAAGGAATAACGTTTTAGGCATTTGCGGTAATTTTCAAATTAAAGGTTAATTTTCCTTAATATTAACTAGCACATTTGTTACATAAATATGAGAAAAACCAAGCAGAAAAAAAACATAAAAAGTGCAAACACTCAGAAGTCTAAACCAAGATGACAGCCGCGGTCGCCCTCCAAACCCTTCTCTCCTGGCTCTGTGTGCGCAGATCGGATCTGGCTACAGGTGTTGCTTATTAGCCTGCTTCTTATACCAACCAGTGTGCCACAGGTGTCCTGTCATGTGGCCAGGCTTGCTTCTACCATTTCTCTTTTAACAGCATCTTTTGAAGCTGTATGGTATAATGGCCAGGAGGATGGAGTCTGGACTCAGACTGTGTAGGTGTAAATCTTAGCTATTAGTGATATGACTTTGGGCAAACAGTTCTTTTAGGCCTTTATGTTTTCATCTGTGAGATGGGTATGATTAATGGTTCCTCAGGCATAGGGGGAATTAAATGAGATGGCACATGTCAAGCTTTTAATGTGGGCTGCAGAGTAGAGTAAGTGTTCAGTCGGTGCTGACTATGGTTACGATGATTTCAGATATAGACTATCCCCTTGTGTAGATTACCATAATTAATTTAACTGATTACTCCCTGCTGGACATTTGGATTATCTTCAACAGTGCTGTGGGACAGATGTTCTTGTGGCTTAGTTTTGGGGTAGTTTCTTAAAAATTGGATATGGTTTTAGAATCCCCAGGCTATTGGGTATGCCTGTTTTAGGACGTTCAATACAAATTGCTAAAGTGTCCTCCAAAAGGAATTTCTTAACCACCAAGCTTTCCCAAGTATGTGAACTATTTTTCGTTAAAGAAATTTTCTTTTTAACATATTTGTTTCATAATATGTTGATTCATTAAGGGGGATCCAATAAGACCAGGGAACATGGGTGCTGAGTGTTTATTTGAAATAGTAGGCCCTCAAAATAGGGACCAAAGTTCGCTGTTTCCTGGGCTAGACCAGAGGTTAGAGATGCCAGTTTTAATCCTCACTCTGTGTGTGCTGATCTTTGCTTTACAAAACACAGATGTTGTATATTGGCAAACAGGTACCCCTGTCCACATGAGCTCTTCTGAAGAGAGCAGTAGAGGAAAAGATAGGGTTCCCTGCTGCCAGCAGGTCCATAGGTGATGCTGCCCAGCTGGGTAAGGGAGGCTGCTTACCCCTGTCATGCCTTCAGGGTGCAGATTCTACTGAGTCCAAGCTGGGGGGCTTGAGTAGATGTGAAGGCAGGGTTAGAGGGGCACGGGGAAGCAGTTCTCTGCACACTAACACTGCCTGCTTGAAAGAGGTCTCCAGGGTACAGTGAAGGACAACACAAATGGCCCCTCATGGAGGGCAGCCTGCTGTGTGTGTGCATGCAGGTGCCCACAGCCTGACACAGGTGTGGGGGTGCAAGGGAGGGAGGAAGTAGAAGTAGGACCCATCCAACAGGGAAGTGGAAACTGGGCTGGGCCTCTGGGCACTTGCTTATCTATTCTGCCCATACTCAGTGAGCACCTGCTGAATGCCAGGTGCTTTGCAAGGAGCTGGGAAATTCAGGTAAGCAGAGGCAGGTGTGTGCCTGTTCTCCAGAGTAGTGAAATTGGCGTCAACCCACTACTGCGGGGATAATTGTGGAAATCTCACAGAGGTAAGTGTGATGGAGGAAGCTGGTTCCCTGAGGCTCATCAGAGGATTTGGCAGGCAGACTGGGGACAGCTTCCTGGAGGGAGTGACCACTGGGATGACTATAAAAGGTGAGAAGGAATTAACTGGGGTAATCGTAAGGCAGGGAGGCCACTCCTGTTCTTTATAGCCCCTGCTGCTCACATGATGATCTCCTGTGGAGCCCTTCCTGGGCTCCTGATCTCATGCGGAGTCCACAGCAAGTCCCCAGCAGTGCCTAGCCCTGGCTGGTACCTGTCATCTTCCCCACTGGCTGTGCTGTGTCATACTGCCTTATCTTATCCCTCAGACACGCAAACTGTCCCCATCTCAGGAGCTCTGTGCTCCCCAGTCCCTCTGTAGCACTGCTCTGCTCCATGTCTGCAGGAAGCCCTCTCCTTACTGAGCCTCAGTATCTGTATCTACTTTTCAGACTCAAGCATTCTAGCCACCCCAACAACAGTCACCACCCCCCACAAACTGGGATTGACCCTAGAGCTTATGCATGCCAGGCAAGAGCTCCACCACTGAGCTAAATCCCCAGCTCTGGGTCTGCTCAAGTTGCCCAGGCTGGCCTTGAACTTGTGATCTTGCTACTACTATGCCTGGCAACACTCACTGTCTATGCCTTGATCTATTTCACTTTATCTATTTCACACACAACCACCTCAGATTGTGCTGCTTTCACATTTATTTGGAAGTGTATTTTGGGGTATTTTCTGGTCTGTTGCGTCCTCATCCCCAGTGCCTACAGCCATGTGTTTTCCTGTTGGATAAGCAGGGCATGTTTGAGGCAAAAACCAAGTTGTGTGAAAGAACCTAGCTAAATCCAGGCTGTGCAGACCGCAAGGTGGTGTGTGAGAATGTGTTTATGTGCACAAGTGTGGACTGGGGGAAGGGGTGGCTATGGCAGACCACCTTCCCACAAAAGCAGTTCTTCTGTACAGCATAGCATTTGCTTTAGTAAAACAGTGTCTGGGGGGAGGAATCAGAAGGTGCCTTTCTAGAAAATCCCACACGTATCTGTTTACTACTGAATCTGGGCAGGTGGGGCTTGACTGGTCATGGCTGCTTTCCTACTCTGTGAGTTCAGAGACAGCCCTGCCAGCCAGTTCTCTACATTACTGGCCTTCTTCCCAGAAAGAATCCTTCTTACTTCCCTGACGGGGCAGGAAGTGTAGAGTCCAGAACTGATAGGGGTGCAGGCCTCATCTAACCCTCACTGTACGTATGAGGAAACCGAGGCCCAGGAATGAGGTAGGATTTCACACAAAGTCACCCAGGCCTCCTATCCTGTGCCCTATCCATGCATGCTTAGGCCAGAGAAAGCTCTTGTGCTCTGGCACCTTGTCTGAAATTGTCTGACTTTTCTGACTACTCATGTTGTGGTAGACCCTCCTAAATTTCACTGGGTTGTGTGTCTGCTGGCTCAGAGTCCAAGCCTGGGGGACCCTTTAATCTTCAACTTCTCTGCCTGCCTGGACATCTGTGTAGCCGATGGTTCTCCTCTGACCGGCTTTCCTTTGTTGGCTCTCCTCTAACCACAGCCCTGCACACTGACCCCTTCCCAGGGCCTTGCTCTGCAGCAGATGGGGAAGAAGGGCAAGGTTCCCAGGACAACTGCTGTTTTGGTCTTTACACTGGGAATATCTGGGAACTCTGAGCACCTGACACCCTGAGGCAATGGGATAGGGGGCATCCAGGTGGCAAGGGATTAGGCACAAGATAACAGAGGGCCCTCTCCACCCAGATGGGTAAAGGAGGGTGCGTGGGAGTTTCCCAAACGTGGGCAAAGATGCTAGCAGCAAAAAGAGACCAACAGGTAAGATTTGTTCTGCCATTTATTCACTTAACAATACCACTTTGAATCTTTACTATATGAAGAGCACAAACAAAAACACTTTCCAAAAGGACAATTGAGGGGAAAAGTGAAGAAAAATCATTATTAGCTAATTCACAAAAAGACTGTGCACCTTTATCAGCAATCAAAGAAAAGCACATTAATACTGTGGCATTGCAGTATTTCGGTTTTGGTCCTAACTCAATAAGCAGCTATTTAAATAGTAATAATCAAAGTGATAATGGTCAAAGGAGGAAGGGCCACTTACACATCAGTGTTGGAACCATCAATCAATACAAGATTTTGGAAAATTGTAGTATATATTCAACTTGTCTAAAGTAGACCATTTCACCCCATTTGTTAACCTCAGAAACTCTATTTAAAGTTCTATAACAGAGAAATGCAATATGCAGATATTCCTTGTTAAAAACAAAGCATTAATGTATATGTAAACCACAGGGAATTAAAAAATAAATGAAGGAGGAGGCCAAGGAGAGAAAACAAAGAGACTGAGAAAAAACAGCTGCCTTTGTTGCAGCACTAGGAGAAACAGACCCTAAGTCTGATTCTCGGGGCCCCAAGAAGAACTCGGCAACTACATTGATCTCTACTGCTGTCAAAAGCCAGGCCACCTCAAGAGGGACTGCCCTGACTGTAAAGGTGATCACTAGAGGTCGGACTGCCCTCTGAAGTGAAGGCCCCAGAGCTCAGACCCTTCCTACCAGCAGGTCCAACAGGAATGAAGGGGCCCAGGGCATACTCTGCCTTCTCCCTCTGGCCAGACTGTTATCTTCAAGGAGGAGCCCCGCATAATCATGACTATAGAGGAAAAAGTAGACGGCCTATTGCTGGACACTGGTGCTGGTCTCTCTGTCCTTCTTTTCAGTCCTGGCCTTCCTTCCAGCTGTCATACCTCAGTGAGGGGAGGTACTGAGGAGGAGGTAATCCGCTATTTTTCACAACCCTTGGGCTGTAATTACTTGTTAGATCTTTCTTGCTTATCTTTGTTTTCCTGAGAAGCCACTTTGAAGATACCAACATGTATTGCAGCAGCCACTGATAATTTCCTATCAATCTGTCCACAACTCTGTAATGTTTCTATTGTTCCTATGCTATTTCATAAATGGATGTATGTTTCTTACTATGTGTTTTCAACAACCACTGAGAATAGTCAATGATTATTTAATTGATCACTCATGTATAGCTCTATTTGTTTTACCTAGAAACCATTTTGAAGAAACCAAAGTATAGTTCAACAACCATTGATAATTTCCTACCATTTTTGTCTGTAACTCACTATTATTTGTCTATTTGTTTTCCTGAGAAACTACCTTGAAGATACCGATAGGTAAAATAACAACCATTGATAATGTCCTACCACTTTGTCTGTAATTCAGTGAATCCCCCTATTGCTATGTTGTCATTCTTTTGCTCTTTTAAATAAATAAAAAAAAATAAATGAAATATTATGTTGGCATGAAGCCTGTGATTGCAGTGATTGTGGAATACTGTGCATTCAGTGCTCACAAAGTACTAACCATGCGAACAGTGATTACAAGTATGTCAAATAGCAGCCTCTGTATAAAGGGTAGCAAAGGAAGGGATACAAACATTTTCCTAGTGGTGAAACACTGGGCATCATTGAAATGGCTCTTTCCTGGCTTTCCCATTTATGAGAATGTTCTTATAATAGAAACTCAGGAGCATTC